AACTACATTATTATCAGCCTTCTACAAATACCAACAATATCATCACAACAAATAATGGACATAGTGCGACGTCATCTGTAACTCATGCAAATACCACAACATCCAATGGAACGCCAATAAAGGTGGTACATTTTGGTGTTGTTTAATGCGTTATGTATAAATTAATTAATTGTGCATTGTTTTTGTTTTCACGTTTATCTTTAACACATGTCTTCCAAATCGAATATATCAAATACATTCCCCTGCATAGATGTAAAGCTTTAAATCTTAATTATAGTAATGGTTATGTTTATAAGTTAATAGTTAGAAAAAAAATAGTTTTTTTATCACATTATTATTATCAATATTTATAAGGATTGTTAAATGTTCTTTAATTATAGCAAATATTTGATTACGAGTGCAAAAAAAAAGAAAATATATTTTTTATAAATGTTTTTTTCTTCGCAATTTATTTTCTTATATCGAAATAAAAACAAACAATTATTTATATGCACAGACTATTACTTTTTCTTTCCGCCGCTACCACCACTTTGCATTCTCTCCAGCTCAGCTTTAAGTTCTAATAAATCTTTGTCGGGTACATAGCGTCTTTCTTCGCATTCATCGGTGTGTTCCTGAACTGTCAATTCAACACCTTCAGGTAATGCCGCCTGCGCAAGACGTAGAAATGCTGGATACGCCGGGACATCAACATCTTGCAATTGAATGTTACGTTCATAGATTTTAAGGCGATATTCTGAATCGGTGACCATTGAGTTGGGTTTTAATCTTTGTACGGTCATATTTTGTGGAGGAAGCGCATAACTGCAAAGAAGAAAATATTCCATTGAATTCTATATGATAATTTGGTTGTAAATCGAAATACGAAAAATCTAAGTAATATTTATGTCAATTTTTTTTTAAAACATGGCAAAATATTTGCCAACCACCGGCAAATACATTCCTTTCATTAAATCTCTGAGTGACTGAGGAAATTTTCTATTAGAAGGGTAACAACTTTTTTATTAAAGTATCCACAAGTTGTCTCTAAATGGGAATGTCCACTGTGTGGGGAGCTGTCAACTGCCCAATACATTTCAATAGAAGGATAGGCGAATGGGAGAGCATAGGGATCAACATCGGAACTCCTTTTCCGACGTGGTGCCAACAATTCTCCTGACCAGGTGGCATAACTTGCCCCTACTGTGCATAAGTATAATTCGTAAAACAACTACATATTCACTTCTTCTTTCGTTTATCCCTGCTAAAACTATTTTTCATTCTTCTATTTCTTCCCTCATACCCTTCACTCTAAGGATGAACACAATGGACATTAAAGCCTGTGAGTGGAGTAGTTGTCATGCATGGCAAATATAAAGTATTAGACATAATTTTCTTACTCTCCGCAACGATTTTCCACTTAGGGACCTATCCCACACTCATTGGTGTTGCACTACCCACATTTTTTGGCACTCGACTTCAGTGGAGGACTTATTTAGTCTTCGACAGCTATATTCAATTAGGTGATTCGTTTCTCATTCTTACCGCTGGACTACCCAATATGTTGTAGGAATCTCAACATTTAGTTCACTAATAAATCCTGCTGCCTTCCTGAACGTCAGGTTAAGCTTTCGTGGAATAATGTTTTAATGTACCTTTTGCAATCTTAAATTAGAAGTTCAGATTATTATCTCTATAGAGTTCAGATCATAATCTCCAACCTTTATGATCACTGTTTCGTCTATTAAGGATTAAGCCGATGTCAAATTCCATATTTCCAATAAGATTTAGTAAGTCCAATGAGTAGCTCTCAACATCTTCAAACGCGTCATTGAACTTTTCGAAGAATCAAATTCAATGCTGAATACCGGAACATCTGTGTTCCTTCAATAGAGTATCTCAATACATCCTTCTTTTTTATGTATAGGATTTTCTCATAGAGTACCCGTTGAAAATATATATAACCTAGTATAGGAATTACAGAGGGCCCAAATCACAACCTTAATGCTTATTCAGTCCCTGGTGGCCTTTACTCAAAAATGGGGCTTTAGGCTATGTTATTAATTGGAATAAACATTATTTCCAATAAATTTTGCCAAAAAAAAACATGATTTCTCTTACCAATCGGCTACATCAATGTCCAAATATTCGGCAACATTATGCAGGTAACGTTGATAGCTTTCCAAAATTGGATAATCATAGCCCTTGATTTGGACATTCAGATTAGGATACTGCGGATATTGTGGTTTGAGGGACTAAAAATAAAAATCACTAAAATAACTCTTTTTTATTGTTTTCTGCAAAAAATAAGACATACGTCCAAATAATCCGGCTCATACACATCTGTGGCGCGGACACACGAAGTTGTCGCCACTTTTCTCGACACTTGTACATTTGTTTGCTTCAAAACTTGGCCAATAAGAGGATTGAGCTTAAATAATTTAATAAAATTCGAGTTTTTTATTAATGAATTTGTTTTATTTTATTTACAATTTTATACCTTCCGCAACATCTTGTTTTTTTGGTTATATCACAAACAGACAACGAAGCTGAATGGTTTACTTAACGGCGCGAGATATTTTCCGCAAATCAAATTAAAAAACGCTCCAAACCATGCCAACAGCTGAGACAAAAGGGAATGGTCAACAATGAACGCATTATTTTGTTTACGAATGAATGTGATGAATAATGCCGGATAGAACTTTGTTTACGAATGAACAAATGACGAATGCGACAACAAAGCCGAATGAATTTCCTGTCGACGGTTTGCCAAGTACTGTGAATAGCCGGTATCGCGCCACGATTTCATTGTTTGCGTTTATAATCAATGTATCTAATATATATGGACCATGGCAGAAGAATACAGGTAGATGCATCAACGCTTAGGAACATTGATATGTCAAAAATGTTCAAATGTCTTTTCAAATATAATTAGATTTTTATATGTTTTTTTATACGACGTCATTCTGATGTTATTATAATTCGTGTTTTCAACCATTTTTACAAATTTAAATAATTTTTCATTCAACATTTCCAATTCCAAAATTGGTATGACAGTTCATTGTCCCAGCAGCTGTGTCGATGCGTCTACCTATATTCTTCTACCATGATATGGACAGAAGAGAATATATGAGAAAACGTGTGTTTACTTGTTTTGCATCTGTCAAATAAACAGAAATAAAAAAACAAATCAAAATACACAAGGGACTGTAAACCTAATTGATTTGACTCTCCGGAAATTATATAAAATATGAAATTATATAAAATACTGAAATTATATAAAAACAAATACGACAAAAACAAAAGTCAATTAGTCTTAAATCAGAGTTGTCTTTTACGACCGTGTATTTACTGTTGCGCTTTTTTCGTCATTGTCATTATGAAATCATTTTTTGACATTATGAAAACATGAAAAACAATTAAATATTGCTGAAAAACAAAAGAAGATTAAAATGTTTGCAATTGTTTTCAAAATCATTACCAAAATGTTTATTCATAAATTTTATGTGGATACAAAAATAGGCTTAACTCTAATTTAGTAAAAACCCTTAATTTTTTTTAATTTTCTTCAAGTGGTAGGTATTTTTACCCTGATTCCTGGAAACAATTTTTTTCTTGAGGGACGGACCCGGGACCAGGCTTTTGACCTGAAAAATGTATTACCACAAATTGTAGCTTAAAAATGACCCTTATCATGTGACCAATTGTTGGATAGGTATTAATAAGCTTTCAAACAATACCTATGATGTCTATATCGGGTAAATGGATCCGGGTCCAGTCCGGGTCTTGAACCCGGACTTTCGGGTCTGGGGTCCCGGGTCCGTCCCCCAAGAAAAAAATAGTTTCCCGCAATTTTTATCGTTCACCTTTGAACTTGGCTCTTGCAATTATATATGACAATTTTTCTTGTTGATCATGACATTCTTTACCATTGTTATTTTTTTTTTTTTTTTGTATATAATTCTTGTGTTATTTTTGAAAACTCCAGCACAAATATCAGTCAGCTCCATTGAACATTGAATGGGAAGGTAGTTCTCATGACAAATTCGATAGCGACATTTTGTATTTTAAATCCTATTTTTTATATACACAGGGTATACTTTTTCAATACATAAACTCTCGTCTGTGCAGTGTTCTGATAATTGAAAAAAGCGGAAGGATAAAACAAATTGACTTTCAAATCAGACATAAGCTAAGTATTACCACCCACGAAATAAAGGTGACAGTACATTAACAGCTTGAAGTCTTCGCAAGGAATATTTTGTGACATATCATAAAGAGATGCCATAATAATAATTTGACATTAATGTGCCTAGCCATGATGCCCAGCTGCTTATGTACCCTCACATTCAGTACAAATTGAAAAAAAAAAACAATAGTTTGCGGACCATTTCCATACAGTTAACAATTATTGCTCTGTTCCAGAACCTGCAAAAATCTACTAGTTTTGCAATTTTTTTCGATATCATGAAGAGAAAATCGGTGATCGTAGTAAAAACTTTAACATTCTTGTAGGTCTGGAACAGAGCACTTACATATTCAGAGGAATGTTTCATATCATTCCTTTAAATTAAAAATTGAAATTAAACATTTTAGAAATTACATTTCTGCATTTTGAATAATAATCCAAGCTCCCAACATGTACATATGGCTCAATAAGAAAGGTTGCTCAACTTCACAGAAACTAGAAAAATGCAACTCTGTAACGGAGTCTTATAGTGTTTAGTTAGTCAGTTAGTTTTGTTTATTTTTAATTTTTTTTTTTTTAATTCTTAATTTGGGGAAAACCCGCGAAACTAGAATGGAATTTTGGGGTTATTCCACAACATTGAATCTAAAATAGTAGGACAATACATTTTATCCTAAAATTGGGCAATGTGTTTCCCATCAACGTCGAAAATTTATTTTGCAACCGAATTATTGCATTTTTTATTTAAAACAACACACACGGCAACCCTACTTCGCAGTTAATGCTTTCGGGTATGCGATTACTTTTCAACACTGCCCAATCTGACAACAGAACATTTCTAAAGCAGCGCAGTAGCAGAGTGTCAAAAAGGAAAAAAGTAATATGTACGTCGTGATAGAAAAATAGTTTTTCCGATTGAAAATATTTATTTGATTCATGAATTTACCAAATAAATCAAGTGAATTGAGTTGTCGACGACGATATTAAACACGTATATCGAATTATACACGACCGGCACATAGGAAACCGTAAAAAATGATGACAACAAAACAAATAAAAACGTTTCTGTATTGGGTGACGTTGCTGGAAATATGGGGAATCGTTTCATGTATATCGGATCCAGGAATAACAAAATTCACACTGTCACCCGTGAGTAAAGTAACCATAGAAATTGCGTCCTTAGTACTTATCATATTATCTTTGCTTAGAATGCTCCAACCGAACGGGAAATGAGACCTCTATTGGCCAACACTAAAATCTATGCAAAATGTAAGTGGTTTTGTAAGCGACAGCTTGGTTGAAGGATGTGGGTGGAAGACAGTTGAAAACCCCCCGGACTAATTCTTTTTCTTATAATTTCATTGTAGTGGAGTGTGAAGCCAATACTGAAACTGAATTTGATATCATCATTAGTACATCGTTAGTGGAGCGACAATGTTGGTTCGATGCCCCCGATGTATGCCACGCTTCATATAATTTAAATATATTTGTAATTAATTCCATTATTTTTACACAGGTTCAAAAAGCTTACGATATACTGGAAAGTCAACAAAGAGCCCAAAATCAAAGTGCACAAGTGGTGCATAAATACCAGATAGACGGTACATGTCCACATCATCTAATTGTTTTGGAAATACCCAACACTGAGATCCAAGGGGCTGTTGCTAATGCATTAACTTCTGATAAGACGACCATCAAGCCAGGCGACACATCACAATTGACGGCTAAATCTCCTGCTGATACCATGAAGAATGCCAAACATCCATTGTCGGTAAGTTTAGAAAATTAGTGGGTGCGTGCGTGTGTGTATTCATGTTTTGCAGTAAATTTCATGAATCACAGAAGTAATTACAGTCGAAACTTTTATATCGTTTATCTGATTATTTCAAAGGCAATACTACAATGGCAATGAAATGTGAATTACTAGGACCGATTTGTGAATATTTGTTAAAATCTTTTAATTTATAAAGAATGCCTATGAATTGTTATGTTCACCACATTTAGAGACACTAAAATTTCTTATTGGGATTGTACTTGAAAAATGCCATATTTTTTATTTGTTTCCTGCTTAAAAAATCAACGTATGAAACAACATAGGATTCTTTTTGTTCGTCATAACCTTGTTCAACTGTGTTAAATCAATGCTTTGTTTAGGTTCCACCTTTCACAAGCAAAGACTTCTTATCTTTAGGTTGTTTTATAAAACTCTTATCACTTGAAATACTTACAATTTTTTACCCATTTTTTTTCTACGCAAAACATTCTGTTTCCGATATCAACGCTTCCAGTAGTATATCTTAAAAAAAATAGTTTCTTAAATGAATTAATTAGTACCCAGTAGGTTTTTTTGCCGGGGGACAAATTTGCCACACGCCATGATTGAAATGTTTCAAAAATTATTTATATATGAGGCGGGTTGATTTTTATACGTTTATAATTGCTCATTTCTAGAACCTGCAAGAATTAAAAATATACTACTCCAACCGATTTTTCCTTTATCAAAAAACACAAAACCAGTAGATTTTTGCAGGTTCTGGGGAAGGATCTCCTTTTAACGTATGTATCGTTTTCACATGCGGTAAGAGAACATCTTCAATATCAGCTTATACAGACTTTTGCTAATGTCCCTGTTTTTACGGAATTGATACAGGGACAAGTTGGACATTCTATTCTGTCCATAAAACCAAACCCCAAAGATTTTGGCCTGGAAACACAACAGTTACAGATCAGATTGAATCATTTGGTTTAGTCTGTAGCCAGTTTAAAATCGACTCATGCAATGTAAAATTCGAAAAAAAATTCCATCATTCATAAGATATAATAAAAGATTCATCCTATATAATGCGGTTTATTATTCCCATAGGATGAAGACATTCAGAGGTTTTAAAATTTTATAATAGTATATCTACAGGGTGAGATAAAAACAATGCAACAAAATCAAACGCCATAATTTTACATTTTTTTAATTTGATTGAATAAAAGCAAAAAATTTCGGAAAAAGCATTAAATTCTAGAATAAGTTTAAATTTTTTCGAATTTGCCACCTTCGCCACGAATTATGGCCTTCAAACAGCCAATGAAACCGTCACACGCTGCCCGAATGTTGCTCTGTGGTATTTTTGGTCGAAACTTTTGTATTTTCTCCAAAATACTCCAGAAACAATAGTAAGTTTAAATTTGTTCGAATTGGTCACCTCTAGCACTAATTGGCCTTCAAACTGCCAATGAAACCGTCACACGCTGCCCGAATGTTGCTATGCGGTATTTTGGCCCATTCCCGGCGAAGCGCTTGCTTGAGGTGATCGACACTTTGGTATTTTTAGTGCCAACCTTGCTTTCCAGACACAGTAGCCCAACGGATTGGTATCCGGAGATTATTGTGGCCATTGTGCACTGGAAATGAAGCGAGGAGCCTCATTTCGTAACAATTCTTGGGTGGCGCGTGCTGTTGTAATGTCCAAGGTCTGCGGCCAAAATGTTTGCGTGCCCAAGGCTTTAATACACCCTCCAGAATATTTGCGCGCTAATATTCGGCATTTATTCTGATGCCACGGGCGATTAATACGAGTGGAGAGCGACCATCGGCTGTTATGGCGGGCCAAACCATCACCATGACCGGCGCTTGAGTTCTGGTGGCCAACCGAATGTGCACATTTTCAGCTGACCTCTTTGGCAAGTAAACACGACCATTTTGTTTGTTTACAAACTGCTGGACAACGAATGTTTTCTCATCGGAGAAAACCAAATTCGGCAGTTCACCAATTTCGGCCAAGCGAAGCAACTCTTTAGCTCTTTTAAGTCTATTTTCTTTCTGTTGCGGTGTAAGTCCTCACACTTTTCGGCATTTCAGTGGCTTTACCCCGAGCTCATTTTTCAATATTTGCTGAATGTGATATGTTCAGCTCACGGACATTTTTCGGCCACTGCGACGCGGGTTTCGATCAAGTCGCTTCTTTACTTTTCGAACCACATCTTCTGATGTTGCGGTTTTCTTCCGTCCACTTCCTTGACGTCGGGCTGCGCTACCAGTATCACGGTAACGAGCGATGGTACGAGACACAAAAGTTTTATTCACATTTAAATGCTGAGGTACTTCAACGACAGCCACATGTGGTTTTCCAGCCAAATATAAGAAATCACTTGTACGCTTGTAAACAATATAATGAGGTGTCACTGGGATAACAGCAGTCGGACGAGTGGGTTGGAAATGACAGCAGTCTGAAATTGTTTGCAGTTTTTTCATCTTACCCTGCATATATGGGAGCTATATCTCTATTTGTGAACCGAATTCGGTCGGATGTACCAAAATTCAGGTCATTAGGACTGATATTAGCCATTTGGCGCACAATCAACCCGAAATCGGTTGAAGATATATATGGCAGCTATATCCAAATCAGATCCAATCTTAATAAAATTTGGCAAAGGTATTTCCGAGCTCTATAAGATATCTGGTGCCAAATATCATTATTGTAGAATGCATATTACGAATATGAGGGACTTAAAAGAAAAATCGGATCATTTTCTCCGATTTTCTCCAAATTGGATGTACTTGCTTCTAGACTGAACTCGATCCGATGTACCAAAACTCAGGTCATTAGGACTTTTGGTGCACAATTAAACCAAAATCGGTCGAAGATATATGGGAGCTATATATAATCTGATCCGATTATTACAAATTCAATTGGGTTCGTCCTTGGGCCAAACAAAAATTGTTTGCAAAATTTTATCTTAATCGGATAATAAATGCGACCTGCATTTTGTTAACAAGAATACATGGACGGACGGACTGACTGACATGCATAAATCGACTCAGAGTGTGATTCTGTGAATATCCTCAGAAGTAACTGTGGGTCTATCTCGCTTCCTTCTCCCTGTTACAAACAAATGCACAAAGACATAATACCGTTACCACTATGTGGTGTAGGTTATAAAAAATGCTGCCGTTTTCATAATCGCAAAGATCGTTGCTAGAAAAACACTGGACATTCTACCCAACTGGAAAGAGTAGGTCATTCCTAGCTGCGGATAGAAGACTCCGGCCGACGTGCTTTCTTCCATCTTTGATCCGTCTGTAGATATCGGCAGACTGATTAGAAATAGGTTGGCTCTGTTTAATTCATCCCTGCTTGGAATCTGTGTCTTAAATTCTGTCAAACCTCGTGGTGGGAGATATGTAATCCCTGTTCCGTTCATGAGAGTTGAAGTTGAATTATTATTATTATAGTCTAAATTGTTTATTATTATAACATAAAAAAAATAAAATTTTCTTGTTTCGAAATAAAAAAAATCAATTTTTTCCTTAGCCAACCAATCGACCATTGTACACCGTTTCACATGATGGCATCTACGAACTGACCATTACTGTTGAAACAAAAACACCAGAGGCCGCTGAGTTTTCAGCCATGGTTACGGTGGAAATGTTGGGACCCTATGGTTATATATCGGCTACCGATTTTCCATTCTTACCGGTAAGTTTATATAATTTTATCACCTCAAACAAAGAAATTAAAAATATATTCTTCCATGTAGTTCTATGGTATAATGTGCATTGTATATGTAATATTTGGCGTCATTTGGTTGGGTGTCTCCTTTATGCAATGGCGTGATTTGTTGCGTATACAATTCTGGATAGGCGGTGTAATTTTACTGGGCATGTTGGAGAAGGCATTTTTCTATGCAGAATATCATTCAGTGAATACTAGTGGTGTTTCAGTGCCTGGAGCTGAATTAACAGCTGAATTTGTATCGTGTGCCAAAAGAACTTTGGCTCGTATGCTGGTTATAATAATGAGCTTGGGTTTTGGTATTGTAAAGTAAGTAAAATTGGGATAAGAAATGTCAAATTATGAAATATACATATGTTTTTTTCTCTCGATTATAGACCTCGTCTGGGTCCATTGTTACATCGTGTGGTAGGTGTGGGCTTGTTGTATTTCCTGTTGGCTTGTGTTGAAAGTTATCTACGTGTTATGCGCAACAAACCGGACATACAAAATGAATTACTGGTAGCCAGCATTCCATTGGCAGTTTTAGATACCGGTATTTGTTGGTGGATCTTTACATCTTTGGTTCAAACCACACGTACATTGCGTTTGAGAAGGTTCGTACAACGCGGTTTTCTTTCATTATAAACTAATAACTTTTATTCCTTAATTTCAGAAATATGGTTAAGTTGTCACTGTATAGACATTTCACAAATACATTAATATTTTCGGTAATTGCTTCCGTCATATTTATGTTGTATGCTTTACGTTTACGTAAAGCAGAAAATTGCACGCCGGTAAGTATTCTATTTTATAAAGCTATTTATTAACAGTATAATAACAAATATTTATTGTTTATTCAGGGCTGGCGTAATATCTGGATTGATACAGCATTTTGGCATATCCTTTTCTCAGTTTTGTTGTTGGTTATAATGATTTTGTGGCGTCCCACAAATAATAACCAACGTTATGCATTTACACCACTGCTTGATAATCCAGAGGATGAGGATGATGAAGGTAAGTCGACACGTTGTCTACTATGTGAAATTAAAATCAATATGAACCATGGAAAAGGGACATTGATCACGTTAAACAAAATAACGGTGACTGATAGGTGTATGATTGAAATTCTATTTTTATCGAACTTGAAGAATTTATCAATGCGACGTGACTGCACATATCCTCAAACGACGGCCACACTGAACTTCGCGAACGTAATATCATCAAAGCTGCCCCCGCTCGCTGTATACCTGGAATATACCCGAAACAAGAGCAAAGTTCCCAGCAGATGCAGCGGGACAAGTAAATGAGCGTGATGTTCTCTGTCGTTCAGTGAATTGACAGTGGAAGTAAACTAGTTGATACAGGAGCATGACAGTTAAATCGCTCTCGAATCCTGGGAAAAGTAAGATAGGACCTCAATCACTTTCAACGACGTAACGGTGACTGATCTGAAGAGCGAGATATTTTAACCAACAGCGAAACGTCTTTCCGGCGTGTTATACAGCGCCGTCAAATGCGCAACACCTCTTTAATTGCAGTGCCAAACATACTCCACTCACTCCAGAAGAGCTCTGGCTAAAGTCTGTAAAAGTAGCCGAATTTTTAAACCTGGAGTTGGAACCAAATTAGCAGAATTCGAACAAAACATGTGAAGTTGTTACAACAACAACATAAAGAAACAAACAGAACGAGTTAATAACTCCTTTATTTAGTTCTTTAATTGGATTTTTTATATCATATTTCATTTATCATTTGATACGCCCAAAACGTGCCTCATCGAAATAACGGTATAGAAAGAAAATAATTTTCTGCACATAAAGTGAAAGGATAGGAACTTTGTGAATCCTAATATTTTCATCAGTGCTAGGTCAGGTGCGAAAATGGACAATAACGATCCACAAAGGGCCAAAATGTTAAATACCCATGAAGCTTATAAAACACGAAATTAACATCCGATTCCATTGAGGCTTGGCACCTCTCAATATTTCCATCAACACAAGATCTGTTATAAATATGGTAGAGATCGGACCATTCCTTTTGGTACCTCCCCCACAAAGGGTCGCAGTTTTGAATAACCAAAACGATCAAAAAATCCGAAATAAGCATCTGATTTTCTTCAAATTTCACACATCACAATATTTTTATTAATCCAAGGTCTGGTGTGAAAATATAAAAATAAAAACATATCGGCGCTCTCCTTCCGGTACCTCCCCCACAAAGGGTCAAAATTTTGAAAAACAATGAAGCTCATAAAACACGAGATTAACATTCGATTTCAATATTTCCATCAACACAAGTTCTGTTATAAAGATGGTAGAGATCGGACCATTTCCTCTGGTATGATTTATGATTTCGCATAAAATCGGGTATAAATGTTCGATTTTCTTGTAATTTTGTCCATGCCAATATTTTTGCCTGTATTAGATGAAGTATGAAAATGGAATATCTCGGCATGCATGCATATTTTAAGATATTCTAAAAATTATCACATACAAATCTCATATAAGGTGAAGAAAGTAGTCGTAATTGTCCAAACCTGGCACGTCGTAATATTTATATCATATTTATTTAGGTCCGATACGAAATGTACAATATTGGCCCATTCCTTTGGAGCCTGTCAACAATTTGAATAATCATACCGGAAGTCAAATTATATTTAAATAATCGAACATTGGCTGAGGGTATACATCTGTTGGCAAAACCGATTAATCCTTTATAACTTTTTTTTTTTAATCGGATCATAGTTTTTTATTTTTGATTTTAATCTAATTAAAATAAATATTTTCCTTTTACCATTTCAGAAGAGGATCAGTTTGTGGCAGATGTTTATGGTGTTAAAATGCGCGGTACCAACAGTAACGGAGCCAAGACACCGCCATCTAAGACCACAACAAATGAAGAAGATGATCTACGTTGGGTAGAGGAAAACATACCCGAATCAATGGCTGATGTCACATTACCCGCACTCGATTCCGACGAAGAAATTATCAATACGAAATTCGAAGTGTCGAAAATGCAATAGATCGACAGCAAAAACTCATTATAATAACAAACAAGAGACAAAGATAAATATATATATACATAAAATAAGCTATGAGTATAAAAAATTATTAATTATTATTATTATTTTTTTTTTTTTTTGTTAAAAAATGAAATATTTATATGACTGTAATTGCTAGTTTAGCAAGAAGTTTTTTTTTTAATTTAATGTTTGCCTTAGTTTTATGACTTTCAAAATATGAAATCTGTAGAAGAAAACGTATGCGTTTAGCAGCACACATTTC